CGTTGATGGGAGCAACGGGTGGATTCCAGATCCAGGGTTTTCCATATCGAAGTCAAAGCGATGCTTACCATGACGTCGTCTCGCTGTCCCTTGATACAGAAATGGGTGGGATGTACTTGGTGGTGGCATGGGGCATCCTGTGGAAGAAGCATGGTTCACCTGGTGGGGGTGAAGAGGAGGTTGTCAGAGGGCTGGGCCAACGGTTAATTCGAACGGACGACGGCGGCGGCCAAATGAGAACGCAGCATGATCTTGAAAGTTACTCGAACGTTCACAGGGTAGTCGCTTGTAGTTGTGATCGCAGCCGGGATGTTCGTGGTAAGATGTCGGCTATCTGCCACACGTGCTAGTGGGATCCCTGCGGCACGCACGATTACAAGCCCAAGTACCTGTTTCGCTAACAAAAGTAAAACGCCTAGCTGCGTGAACACGGAAGGCGTTTGAAATGGGCTAACAATGACGGCGGTCTGGAGGCCTAGGCAGTCAGGCGTTCACACGGTCGGCATGTTCGCGAAAAAGGAGTAAAGTCTATATTCGACACTGCGAATGCGGCTGGAGAGATGACCGAATTTCATGATCGACCATACCGATGCAGCGATATCACACGGCAGTGAACTATGTTCTAGGTCGGCGCAAGGGAGTCACGTTCTCCGCTCTCCGGCCGATTGTGCGATGACAGACTTTGCGCGAGGCTGCGTAAGCACTTGCTCCAGATATCGGAGGCTGGAGCAGCGGGCCTGAATACGAGGATGTGTTGTCGTCAGATCCTTCGCGGCAGAAAAACAAAACGGGAAATATCGAGTTGTGATCCAGCCTCGAGCGGGGTGGTGGCTGGAGTATCCCGGGTTGTATCCATGTAGTGGATCCCGAGGGCTCCAGATCTTCGATGAGCTGACGTTGTAATAATCCGAGAAACAACCTACTCGAACGAATCAGAGCGAGTGACGCACTTCCGCGTGATACCGAAAGTTTCCGTGATCGTTCGGTAGTACTTCGCTTGATGTATGCTGAAACGTGATGTACAGATGTACAGATGCACACTGAACGAAAAGGGCAACTTTGGAGTATCCTGCGGTGAAGAACCCATCAAGCCTCAAAGTGGCAGGTGCGAGTGTTGAGATGGCAGGCCCACATATGTGCTGGGAAGGAGACCTTGAAGTATTCAGACCCATGCTCTCTCTGACACGAACAAGGACGAGATGAAGAAGCAAGTACGAGATAACGCAAGCATCTGCCGTGAAGTCCAACAGCCCAATTGCCAAGTTTATGTTCTTTCGATATCTTTATTGTTTATCATAGCAAGTATAACACGACGTATGGGTCGGCCCGCGATATTCGTCCGGAGCACCCGCTACGCGCTCACTTTTGCTCGCCCTGGCCGGAGCGCTCAGACTCAGCAATGACGTCGTCGCTGTGTTGTTGTTAGTGTTGTCTTTCGCCAAGCTATGATTACTGACATGTGCTTGTCCAAATCCTCCATGTGCTGCCTTTGCTGCTTGAGCTTGTCCTTGATTGCGAGAAGCCTGTTTGTTGTCAGCACGTTGTACTATGACAGAACGTTGTGCCGGGTCGTTGCTCGGTCTGAAACGGTGCGAAGTAATCATCGGGATATCGGGATATACAGAGCTGGAGTACGTACTTGGCCTTCTCTTCTTGGCGGATGTAGAGCTCTTCGCTGGCAGCCTCGCGCTTGGTGAAAGCGTCACTACAATACCGGTTAGTCTGGATATAGGGTTTACAGTTCATGAGCATAGACTCACCCGCCAGCGGCACCAGTAGCCCTTGAAGCCCCAGAGCCGGTGGAGCCCTCAGCCATGCGGAGGGCGGAGGCGGAGAAGTAGCGAGGAGCGGCAATTGAGCGCGCGCTCTTGATGATGGATGTGCGAAGCATTTTGGCGGATCGGTAGAGAGATGAGATGCTGGGTGTTGGGTGGTTATATGCAATTGGTATGCTGAGGTGGAGTGATGGCTCGACATCTGGAAGACATGGGAGCTTGGACGTGCAAGTGCGTCATCGCCACGTGATTTCGAAGGGTCTCAACATCGTTGCCTGGCCCACTCGACAGTTTGGTACGCGCATGACCTCTTCGCATAATACGCCTGTATATCTAGGAAGACCGGAGGGGTAACGTTGGAGACACGTCTGTCGATGTGTTGTTGAATTATGAAAGTTGCTTCAGCATAAAAAGCACAACAAGCACCATGTGACAAGAAGACTTCGGGGTCTGTATCACTACAACGATTGCAACAACATGGTCTTGACCTCAAGGCTCTCTGAACAGCATGGCATGTTTTTCGTTCAACGTGTGTTCGGCATGTCCACAGTCATCGCACCCATTGTCGGGGCAGAGCCAATGTGCGCTGCTCAAGGCCAAACGTGATGCCCAATGCTCGTCGTGAAGCCCGGTCCTTGTAGCTGTCATGGAAAGGGTGTACTGCGGGGCATGTTGTTCAGGGACTCGACAACAACGTCTCCAAGGCGACTCTGCAAGCCTGTAAACAACAGCAGGTACTACTCAGGCCAGGAAGGGGCCGCTGAGGCGGTGGCGGATGGTGTTCGCCTGTCAGAATAGAAGGTCGCGCCAGTTCTGGGCCGTGTGAAACCAAGGATAGGCAGGCGTGATCGACGCCAAGACGAGTCAACTGGTCGGGTTCTCTCCCTCTCAAGTCCCCTCCTCTGATAACTCAACCACAAGCCGCCCTTGACCAAAACATCTGCACTTCACTTTCTTGCCAACACCACACCGCCGCCTCTAGCAGCCTACATTCCCTCTCCATACCAACTTTTCTCTACGTAAGTGCTGCTCCACTGCATTTCGTCACTCCCCCCGAATCCGCGGACAGCTGCAATTTGCGCCCCCGGCCGCAGTAAACAAGGCCCGCTCTTCCCATCAGCATGGCCGGCTGTCGAAATCGCTCGTCTCAAGTTGCTCGGCCGCTGTTGTCGTGGGTGTCGTGTATCGGCGCTCTTTTCGGAGACCCGTGGTAGCTCGAGCCGCCCCTCTTTGCGCCTCTGTTGTGAGGTGCAGAGTCCACGCAAGCAATTGGCATATCTCCACTTGCCGCACACTCCGAGCCTTCAACACAAACAGGACAGCCAGCGAACAGTAGATACGGCAGCGAGACGACATTTTCTCCGATTACGGCCATAGCGCACATTGAGGGGCTTGCTCGCTGTTGAGCAGCTGCGATAGCCACTGGTTGCACTTGTCGCGCGCTTCAACTCGATTTACATCAGCTAACAGCGATTTGCACAGACCACACATCACAATGGGTTACGAAGACTCCGTGTACCTGGCCAAGCTGGCCGAGCAGGCCGAGCGTTACGAGGGTAAGCGCACCACAAACAACGCACCGCATCGTGTCCTAACGACATGTGACAGAGATGGTCGAGAACATGAAGGCCGTTGCCTCCGCAGACCAGGAGCTCTCCGTCGAGGAGCGAAATCTCCTTTCCGTTGCCTATAAGAACGTCATCGGTGCCCGCCGCGCCTCCTGGAGAATCGTCACCTCGATCGAGCAGAAGGAGGAGTCCAAGGGCAACGAGACCCAGGTTACTCTGATCAAGGAGTACCGCCAGAAGATTGAGGCCGAACTGGCCAAGATCTGCGAGGACATCCTCGAGTGCCTTGACAGCCACCTGATCCCCTCTGCTGAGAGCGGAGAGTCCAAGGTCTTCTACCACAAGATGTAAGGCGCCACGTGCATTTGACTAGTCAGTTTGCTAATCTTCATGTCTTCTCCAGGAAGGGCGACTACCACCGTTACCTTGCCGAGTTCGCCGTTGGTGACAAGCGCAAGACCTCTGCCGACAAGTCGCTCGAGGCTTACAAGGCTGCTACCGATGTTGCTGCCTCCAACCTTGCTCCTACCCACCCCATCCGTCTCGGTCTCGCATTGAACTTCTCCGTTTTCTACTACGAGATCCTCAACTCGCCCGACCAGGCTTGCCAACTCGCCAAGCAGGCTTTTGATGACGCCATTGCTGGTACGTGAAGGACGAAGTAGTCGTTCTGAACAAGGCTAACGAATCTGCAGAGCTCGACACCCTGTCTGAGGAGAGCTACAAGGACTCTACCCTCATCATGCAGCTTCTCCGTGACAACCTCGTAAGTTCAGTCCGCAGCCCGTTTACCACACACATGCTAATTCCTATCAGACCCTCTGGACATCGTCCGAGGCCGAGCCCTCCGGTGACGCCCCCGCCGGCGAGCCCGCCACCGACGCGCCCAAGGCTGAGAGCAGCGAGGCTCCCGCCGACGCCAAGGCATAAATCCGAAAAACCGATAACAGACGCAAAAATGGCAGGGGTTAGTGGTTATTGGTGCATCTTGGTAAACGGTCAATGATGGCTAGACTCATCATTTTCTACAGTAGTGGCATGAGAGGGTATATCCTAGGTGTGACTTTCAGGCCCCGGGTGCGCTTTGTTTAGACTCCAAATTCTCAATCCTGTCTACATCCTTTACCTTGGTGTCTTGGCCCTTATACCACTATACCGTCCCTTTCCTGCCTAGTCTCGTTGGTTTGGTATGCCGTATTTTGCGATTAGAGTGTGGCTGGATGTTGGCTATACGACGTTCTGGCTCTTTTGCTGTTCCTACATTCTCTTCAAGACTTATAATCAAAGATATCCGCTTCTATTTGGGGTCTTGTTGAGTGTGTCGAGTGAATTTTGCTTGTTGACTGGGTGCTCCTTCCCCATTGTACCGCTTACGTCACGTCACGCACGTGGTGTAGATAGGTTGTGGTCGCAGCTTCCTCTCTTTTCCACTCTCACTCTCACTCTTCGACCCTCCATAGGCGACTCAAAAGCTTGTACTGAACGTCTGTGTTCGTATACCCTCTCGCCGGCAGTTACTACGCTAACAGCCCCGCCATAGGTCGACCTCATACTACCTCCACTCGACCTCCACACGACGAATTTACCGCCCGGGTTCGTGTTCATCTGCAGACTCAGCACTAATACGCTCAAGTCAGCCGTAGCTAAAGCAACAGCCATGGACGCAATCAGCTTGCTACCACCGGCCCAGACCACCAACACCACGGTGGTCACTACGACAAAAACTACCGCTACCGCGACAACGACCATAACAACAGTCACTACAGTCACCACCACGACGCCTCAGGGCACAAGCGTCTTCACACCCTTTCGCTTCCTCGACTTGCCTGTCGAACTCCGAATCATGGTGTACGAAGAGCTGGTGGTTGTTGGCAAGGTCTTCTACACGCCCGACGACTACGCTATCGAGAATGAGAAGCGCTTTGAAGACTGGAAGTCTTATCGAACCCCGGAAATGGCCATTCTGCGGACTTGCAAGCAAGTTCACGACGAAGCTGAAGAAGTCTATCTGGGGAAGAACTTGTTCGTACTCCCGGACCAGTGTACGAAGAGGCAACCACTTGCAGGATCGGGTCTATGTTCCAATGCTGCTCGCAAAGACGAGAACATCAGCCATATACCGTTTCACGACCGGTGGCTGTTCTCCGATGCAGCTTCTCGTCTGGTTAAGAATATCAGCGTAGCTATTAGCAGACGTTCCGATGAAACCTTGTGCCCATACGCTTACGACCACTCGCTTTGGGAAGAGGATGGCGAATTCGACAGCATGGTTTCCACCGCCCGTCTTAATTGGGTACATGATTGCGCGACAGACAATATGGCAAACGACTTGGATGACTATATCGATGATCTGTCCAAGTTCTTCAGAAACGGCGAGAAGCTTCCATTGATCCGCCTCAACTATCTTGAGTTCGATGTGACCAATGCATACTGCCCAATAGGATGTTGTCGAACGGCCTGGTTGATCTGGGGGCCACTGCTGAAACTATGGCCAGAAAAAACAACGTTTTTGGGAGTGAGAAACGCAGAGGGAAAAGTTACCATTATGGACTCTGTGATGGACTTCTTTTACGATGTGCCGCCGCAAGAGTTCCCCGAGAAGCTCAGGGTGAAGTTTGGAGCGAATGAGGACGTTGATGAGGAAGATATGAGGAAGGTGTTGGGCGTGGTCTTCAACCCAAAGAAGGCGTACTGGGAGCAGTGGAAGGTTGAGACCAAGTAAGTAGCTGTAGCACTGAGCACGTCAGCCTAGGAAAAAGCTGAACACCCTGGAGCCTACATCAAGGTATAAACATACAAAGTAGGTGGCCTAAGGTTAACGTAGGCTCCAGGGTGTTCAGCTTTTCCATTGTATGAGGTGGGAGGACATGATCACGCTGAAAGGGTCAGTAACAGTTGGATTTCGCGTGACTGCCATGATATTAGCATTGAAACTAGATGGAGCGTTCGATGGGGTCCAGAAGAGAGTCATGTCTATGACAGCACGGCGCAATGTAAGCTGGACATGCCTAAGTCATAGTCCATGAATTGAACATTAGTCGGACAGACGTCTTAGCACCTCATACAAGAAAAAATAAACAAACAGGCCGAGAGCCTACATCATCGTTAGATCTCCTACTTCGTATGTTTTAATGTTAATGTAGGCTGTAACTACAAAAACGTAGGCTGCAGACCTGTTCAGTTTTTTCCTATGTTGACTTGTTAGTGGCGAATGGCATTGCACATTTAGATAAGCCGATCTCTATGCTCATCAAAACCTCTCAGTGTACATGCAAGGCAAGTTTGTATATCCTAGGTCGCAAAGACCTCGTCTCGACAAGCCTGTAGAAGGGCGGGGCTAGAATAACGGAGACTGCTGAGGTCACGCACAACGACAAGCAGAGGCATCACAACACTCCACACGATACCATATTGCAATCAGAAAAAAGCCCTGCTTCTGCATTTGTATTACAAGTCCCAAAATGTATCTATGCGTGCCACAACCTCGCGACAGCCTCGGTGATACCAACGTCATTTGTCTCGAAAGAGTAAAGGGCAAGACCCAATGCGACAGTTCCGGCGCGGAGAGCCCACATAGCAGACTTTCGAACGAGGGGAACACGCTTGGTGGGGAAGTAGTCGATGATGCAGGACCTGTGATATATTAGCCACTGTAACTCAAGATACAATTTCGATCTACATACTCAAATCCAATATGCGAGTGGACTACCAGGAGAGCGCAGAGAATCGAGTCGGACAGCGGGTTCAGCGATCCAGCAGCGAAGGGCGCAATGGTCAAGGGAATCAGACCGGCTGAGACGATCCTCTCAAAGCTCCAGTGGTAGCTGCCGTGGGCGTAATCGGGGTCTGGCACGGGGACGGGGTCGTTGGTGGTTCCGATGATCTTCTGGGGCAGCGGCGGCAGGATCTGGTTGCGCTGTGTGGCGTGGAAGGCGGCGATGCGGGTCGACTGGGGGATGGCTGAGCGCTGGAATGCTGGTCGCAGCGACTGGGCGAGCGGGCGGTTGAGGGTCGAGGTCGCGGTGGACAGCATGCGCTGCGAGGCCTGGGTGGGCGGGCAAGCTTGCCTGAGGAGGCCGGGACGCATGACGGAGGCCATTGTGCAGTCTGACTGTCTGATTGAGGTCGTGGAGGTCGCAAGAAGCAATATCGGGATCGCAGTCGTAGTTGACGACAATGCCTCGGATGTCGATTGCTGACGTCCCTGCCGCCCTCATTGGCCAGCGGTGGCAGCCGGAAAGTCCCGTGATCGCAGATTTGACGAAACTCATCCACCTCACCTAGGCCGCGCTGCAGCTGGACGTATCGACATCCACCCCAACCCATCACCGCCCCATCTCCCATCCCCTGCACAGCGAGCAGACGCAATGGCCTCCCGCCAGCTCGCCCTCAACCTGCAGCGCAGCATGCGCTCGCGCTCCGCCATCAACGCCGTCAAATCATCGCGGGCCTCGCCTCTGACCCGCGGCCTGGCCACGCCCGTGGCCTACGGCGCGAAGACCGAGTCGACCACCCTCGGAAACGGCTTCACGGTATGCCCGCCACTGTAGGAGGATACAGGACTGCAATTGACCCGCCTGCGCAGATCGCTACCGAGCACTCCCCGTGGGCCCAGACTTCGACAGTCGGTGTCTGGATTGACGCTGGAAGCCGCGCCGAGACGGACAGGACCAACGGCACTGCCCACTTCCTGGAGCACCTTGCCTTCAAGGTACGGACACTCAATGGCAATGGCCGGGACAGCACGCTGATGCATGGCACAGGGAACCCAGAAGCGCACACAGCAACAGTTGGAGCTCGAGATAGAAAACATGGGCGGCCACCTCAACGCCTACACCTCGGTACGTCATACGGAACGAATCATTCCCAGGGCCGGATACTGACCAAAACAGCGCGAGAACACCGTCTACTACGCCAAGGCCTTCAACAACGATGTCCCCGCCGCCGTCGACATTCTCTCCGATATCCTCCAGAACTCCAAGCTCGAGGCCCAGGCCATCGAGCGCGAGCGTGATGTCATCCTCCGCGAACAGGAAGAGGTGGACAAGCAGCTCGAGGAGGTTGTCTTCGACCACCTACACGCCACCGCTTTCCAGGGCCAGCCCCTCGGCCGCACCATCCTCGGACCCAAGGAGAACATCCAGAGCATCCAGCGCGCCGACCTCGAGAACTACATCAAGACCAACTACACCGCCGACCGCATGGTCCTCGTTGGCGCTGGTGGCATTCCCCACGAGCAATTGGTCGACCTCGCCGAGAAGTACTTCGCCAACCTCCCCTCAGAGCCCCAGGACTACTCCGCCAAGTCCGCCGCTGCTGAGCAAAAGGCAAAGCCCGACTTCATCGGCTCCGAGGTCCGCCTCCGTGACGACACCATGGGCACCGCCAATATCGCCATTGCCGTTGAGGGTGTCAGCTGGAGCGACCCCGACTACTTCACCGCGCTCGTCACACAGGCTATCGTCGGTAACTGGGACCGTGCCATGGGTACCTCCGACTACCTTGGCAGCAAGCTCAGCAACTTTGTCTCGCAAAACGCCCTCGCCAACAGCTTCATGAGCTTCTCCACCAGCTACTCGGACACTGGGTACGTCATAATCGAATGATGCTATAAATATTCGCTAACAAACCCTAGTCTCTGGGGAATCTACCTCACCAGCTCCAACCTGACGCAGCTCGACGACCTCGTCCACTTCACCCTCCGCGAGTGGTCCCGCCTCTCCATGAACGTCACCTCCGCCGAAGTCGAGCGCGCCAAGGCCCAACTCAAGGCCTCGATCCTCCTCGCCCTCGACGGCACCACGGCCGTCGCCGAGGACATTGGCCGCCAAATCGTCACCACCGGCCGCCGGTTATCACCCGAGGAGGTGGAGCGCGTCGTCGGCCGCATCACAGAGAAGGACGTTATGCAATTCGCCCGCAACAGGCTGTGGGACAAGGACGTTGCTGTCTCGGCTGTGGGCCAGATTGAGGGTCTGCTCGATTACAACAGGATTAGGAATGATATGAGCAGGATGCTTTCATAAGCAGGCGAAGGAAGGAGGGGAAATATGTGCATAGTAAGATGATTGCTGTGAAAGCGTTTTTAGACGGCATAGGTTACTATTGTAGTTTTTTGTATGAAGTACTTGACCGGACTGTATTTTGACAAGATCTTTTTCAAAAATGCTCGTTGCTTGTGGATGAAGTGCACGTGGGTTCGTCTGTGTGGTCGATATGGAAGTAGAAGAAAGATATGGACTTGCTCTTGATTCAGACAGACTGGGTTAAAACGCACTCTCTTCTTCTTGTTTTCTGACACAGTTTACTGCTCTTCGCTTGAGACTCAGAATTCCCGCTCTTGCCTGCGATTCTTGCCTCCTTTGGGAGCCGTTTGCAAATAAGCGGATATCTTGCGGAAGCCTCGTTGGTCACGTTGAGCTTCGTTATGTGACAGGGAATTCACATTGAGCCATGGAAACGGAAGAGGTGATATAGTTTCTCTTGATACAGGCCTATTGTTTGTCTAGTCTGCATGTTCAAGTGGGGGACGCCATCACCTGGCCATGGGGCTATCACATCTTTGCAGAGGATACCGTGTAAGAGAGGGTCTAGTCTAACAGCAAACAAGCCTGCGGCATTCGGCGGTCGAGGTACGGGGTCTAGCCTTTCCGTGTATAAGATATGGCCGGATCTTGATTTATAACTTCTTACCTCTTGTTTTACCATCATTTACGCCCCCTTCCAGCCATGGACAGAACCACCGCGGTCGCCATCATGGCAACTCTCACTGCAGGTTCGATGGTGGCACTCGAGTACCTACGGTGGTCTGAATCGCGACAGAAGTCCGAAGCAATCTTGGCCGCTGCTAAGATTACACCAGAGGTTTCTGCAGCACCTTCCGATAAGCAAGACAAGAGCGAGGATAAGAGCGGGGACAAGAGCGAGGATAAGAGCGAGGATAAGAGCGAGGATAAGAGCGAGGATAAGAGCGAGGACAAGAGCGAGGACAAGAGCGAGAAAGAGAAACAGATCGATATCTCCCCGGACCGAAGCTCGATGATGACTAGGAACAATGAAGATCAATACTTGCTCGGTGCAAGACTCGTCAAGTCACAGTACGACCAACACTGTTCGTGCGATGAGCACGCGGAACACCTGTACTTCAACTGGCCATACTCTTGCCACATTCAACACAAAAAGGATGATGTCGTCGTCAAAGTCGGTTCGAGGCCCAAACTAGACGGCGGTTTCGGAAATCCACCTTACGAGAGCCTGTCGCTTGCCAAGTGCACCATCGAATACTTCTCCAGGGCGCAGAAAGACATGGACAAGAAACAAGAGAAGGCACTTGATCAATGGAAGTCATCCTGGGAGCGCACTCGTGCACTTGAGATGTTGGCCAAGGAGGACGTCCGTGGCAAAGAGACGGACTTTCTTACGACGTGGATGGTTGAGCAGCTCAACGAGTTGTTCTTCTTTGGTGCTATCAAAGACCTTGAAGTTCAATGGAACACAAAAGAGCTGGACAAAAATGACGGATTGTTGGGCGATGCCGAACTCAAGCCTAAGGATGGACATGACCGCTCCACCATCCGGCTGCATCCAACCCGCCGTTGCTACATCAAATCCGAGTATGTACGTCAAGGTAAAACACTCGCTGAAGAACGCATTGGTTGTATCTTACACGAGCTGTTGCATATCTTCGTCGTGCAGTATATGTGTGATTACTGCACGAGGTGG